CTTTCATGTCTTCTCGATTATGAATACATTAGAACATTTGGAGCCCAGTAAATTTCACACCTCCCCCTCCAGTGCCCAGAAACGCTCCCTGTTCATGGGGTGAGTGAAGGGCAATTGGTGAAAAGTACAAGGAAAGGACTTTCCAGTGGCAGGTGCTTTCTTGGGGGTGGAGGTCGGCTGTGGCAGACGAGAGTTTTCTTTTCAAGTGTGGGTTACAGTTTCGCTCAGAGATCCGTATTCAGGGTCCCCTGAAGGCAGCTGCGCAGAGCGAAGCCCTGGCTCTTGTGGACTCACAGTGAGGTCAGGTTCCCCCGGGGCATCCTGCTCCAGTCCTTCCTGCTGATCTGTTCCACCTGCACCATGTGGTTTTGCCCTGTGGCTGATTTCTGTGGAAGGGACCTGTGCTCTTCTCTCACCTCTGCCACTAGATAACTTGTGTGCCCTTGGCCACCGCTAACCTCCCTGAGCCACAGTTCTCACATTTACATAATAAGGAGAATAAGGGAAATTTACAGGGTCATTTTGAAGATGAAATGAGGTAATATCCATAGAGAGCTCCTTGTGAGCTCGGAAATGCTATGAAGTGCTGGTACTAGAAGCATCAAGTCCTCACCACAGACTTGTAGGCTTGAGTTTGATGTTTGTACCAAATTGTGAAGTAGGTAAACGAGTCCTAGCCCCTTCCCACTCCCTCTCTGTGTCAAGAAGCCCTGTGTCTGCGAGCTTGCTTGTCCCAGAAAAGCAGCTCCCCACTGTGCGAATATTCCTGATCCCCAAACATCCCTTAAATCCTTCATTAAACTTAATTATCCTTCTTCGTACGTTTTCTCTCTTCCTAAACCAACACCTGTGCCGGGCTGTGTGCGATTAGACAGGATCATAGTAAACTCTGTGCAGGGATGGGCAGTGAGGCATCCCTCCCAAGTCTATTTGCTTTATCTACCAAGAAGAGACGGAAGTGGTTTTGCTAAATGAGTGAATTTCAGATGGTGAATTATTGTGCATCTGAGACGAGGTTGTGGTGGGAAAGGAGAGGCCCCTCTGCTGCCCTTCAGGCTGTGCTCTCTGGGTGGTGCCTCTTTCACATGGCTGTGCCTGCTAGCGGTGTCTTGTTAGTTTATGTCTTTTATATAGGATTTTTTTTTCCTTTGTTTCTCGTCCCATGATTATTGGATTCCTAATTCAAGTAGGTAAATGTCTGTATTGGCTTTCTTCTTATTTGTAATTTGTGTCTTTATTCTTGTTCTTTGTTTAGTGGTTACCAGGTGGTTTGTATAACACATGTCATAGATGAGATAGTCCTTTTTCTGATAGCCTCTTGTTTCCTTAAATTAAAACGTTCCATCCCTTTTCTCTTCCCCTTCTAGGTTGTTATTGTCAGATTTGTTTTTTTCCTCTTTCTTTTTGTGTTGTGAGTTTGTGGTTAAAATGACTAGGTTATATTTATTCTTGGTGTTTCTGTTCCATTTATCTTTAATGTTTTATTTAACTTTTGCTAACCTGTTCTGATGGAGAGCTGCTACTTTCTGTTATTGTCCTTCTGCTTATCTCCTTTGTTCTGGATTTTGTAACCCCTTTCCTTTTTTTGATTTTTCAGGTATGAGGGTCTTCCTGAGCATTTCTTGAAGAGGAGGTCTTATGGCAATAAACTCCCTTAACTTTTGTTTATCTGGGAAAGTTTTTATTTCTCCATTGTTTTTGAAGGATATTTTCACTGGGTAGAGTATTCTTGGCTGCAGGTGTTTGTCCTTTAGAGTTTTGAATATTTCATTCCAATCTCTTCTAGACTGTAAGGTATCTCCTGAGAAATCTGCTGATAGCCTTATGAGGGTTCCTGTGTAGGTTATTTTCTTCTGCCTGGCTGCCCTTAGTATTTTCTCTTTGTTGTTGACTTTTGCTAGCTTCACTACTATATGCCTTGGGGTTGGTCTTCTTACATTGATAAAGTTTGGAGATCTATTGGCTTCTGTCACATGAAGTTCCATCTCTCTTCCCAGGTTTGGAAAGTTCTCAGCCATTATTTCTTTGAACAGGCCTTCTGCCCCTTCTTCTTCTCTTCTCCCTCTGGTATCTCCTATGTTGCATCTCCTAATTGAGTTGGATAATTCTTGGAGAGTTTCTTCATTTCTTTTTAGTCTTAGTTCTCTCTCCTCCTCTGTGTGCAGCATTTCTATATTCCTAGCCTCCAAATTGCTAATTCTGTCTTCCATATTATCGACCCTACTGTTCAGAGAGTCCAGATTTTTCTTAATCTCCTCCATTGTGTTCTTCATCTCCAGTATTTCTAATTGGTTCTTCTTTATAGTATCAAGCTCTTTTGTGACATAGCTCCTGAACTCATTGAGTTGTCTATCTGAATTCTCTTTTAACTTGTTGAGTTTTTTAATAATGGCTGTTTTGAAATAATTGTCATTTCGGTTATAGATTTCATTGTCTTTGGGATTGTTTTCTGGGTACTTATCATTTTCCTTCTGTTCTGGAGATTTAATATATTTTTTCATACTGCTTGATGGCGTGGATTTGTGCCTCCACATAGAGATAGAGTTCAGTCGCTGTTTCCACTTGTTGCAACTGGTGTGTGTGTGGGGAGCAGCTGTTTAGACTGCACCAACCAGGAACCCTGTCAGCTGTTACTGACTGGATCTGGGCCCCTCCTCATAGTAACAGTGGTCCTGTGGTGTCCCTCGTCAGTTGTGGGGGCAATCGCAAGAGGGCCTTAGGCTGCTGGTACCTACTGTTGCAGACCACCTAGAAGCGCTCCCTCCTTGTGTTCTGCAGCGGTGTTATGGGCTTTCCAAGCAGCCGGGAGCAGGATCACCTATAATTGCAGCTCTGTCACTGCCAGAGCCCACAAGATCACACTTGTCCACTATAGGTCCCAGCAGAGCTATGGGTATCTTCTGCAGTCTGTGGTTAGCTCACCTAGCTGTGCTACTTTTGCCCCAGCACCTTCCAGCCTTGTGATTGCTGGTCAGGACCTCTCCACTAGTGCTGTGCAGAGGCTTTTGCTGAGGCTGCTGTGGGAACCTGGAGTTCCCCCCAGGCCATGTAGGCATTCCACTGGAGCTCCATACAGCCCCCAAGCATGCCCATGGTAACAATGGGTGCCTCTTGCACCATCCCATGCACAGCCAGAGTCTGTGAGCCCTGCAGCGGTGGGTGGTCTGGTGCCCTGCCGGGGAATCTGCTCCCTGGGAGCTTCCCAATGTTCTGAATGCTGGGCAGCGCCTCTTTGCTAATGGCAAGCATAGGCTTTCCCTGCTGGTGGGTGCAAGACCCTGGAGTTTCCCCCTGGGCTTAGGTGTAATCGTGGGGGGCTTAGGTAGGGCTGTTGTCACCTGTTTCCACCATCGCTCCACCGGTGAGTGCACACTCCCGCCCTTGGTGCGTGGTGATGCTATGGGGGAGTCCACTGGAAGACAGCCTCTTGCAGGTACTAGGCTGTCCGGGGGTCCGGGGTCAGAGAGTTTTCACCTATCTCCACCTCCTCCTGGGGGGAAGTCTGTCTGTGTTCCGATGTATAGCAGCACGGGTCTCTCAGGCATCTTGAGATGCTGTCTGGATATCCTTTGTTAACCAGTGAATGCCCAATTAGTTGTAGATTCAAAGGGGGAGAGACAAAGAAGACTACTCACTCTGCCATCTTGGTCCTGCCTCCCTTTATATAGGATTTTAAATTTTTTATACTAGATTTGAGTTGGCTAACAAGTGGTACTAGAATCAAAATATTAAGAAATAACACAAAGTAAGAATCAGGATAAATGGAATGTCCAGCCATGGGGAGAAGCGGAATGCAGGTTTTCAGGCTGTGTGACTTGCACAGTAGTTGTGAGTGGGCCATGTGTTTGTGAGGTTTCTGGAAGGTAACTTGAAAAAGGAAATGTAATCTAAGCATGAGAGGAAAAATTCATTGGTTACCATGGAGGCAAAGATTTCTCAGGGCTTAGCTACCCCCAGGGGCTGCAGGGACAACAGAAGATGTCGTCAACAGCAGCCTCAACAACATCTTATGCCAAAGTCAGAGCAGCTTTCTAGCTTCTTATTTCTTGGCATGTGACTTCCAGACCCTGGTGTTAATGGTACCTTGCCACTTTGGGTCAACGTGGTCCAAATACACAGCTTTCTATGGCTATATTGACTGTGGTTTGGGACACTGACAACTAACTTCACCTATGCCAAGCCGAAGGACACATGATTTTTGAAGGACATTCCAAAGACAGCACACAGTGCTTCCTGTTGTGCCCAGGAAGATGTGAGGAGGACAGGCTGCATCTTATTCCTGGTTTGAATTTTCTGAGGCAGTCCAGGCAGCCCTGACTGTCTGGGAGAATCATCAGTCATTGCATCAGTGATGTGGAAGCTAAGCCAGACCTAAGCCTGGTTTTCTGTACAGAAATGGTCACTTGGGAAGGTGGGGGGGAGGCTTGTCAGGAGGAGCTTGGGTGAACCTGGCTCTCGGACAGAAGTCCAGCCTCCTGTCTCGTGCAAGCAGATCCTGTGGCTGTGCTTGGGGGTCTCCCCACCTCCCGCTGGAATATGGTCATTGTCTCAGGTCCCCCACGATTATGGCAGCCTGTTCACGCGTTGAAGGAATATCAAGCTAATCAGATCTAAGTGCAGACTAGATGTTTTTCCTGTGCATTAATTACAACTTTTGAACATTTTTTTAAGTAAGTAAAAACAAAGAAATATATTTTTAGTGACTGAAGTATCCTTATTTATTTTGGAAACAACATGCAAGTGTTGAAAAAATTAAAAAGAGCCCAGTAATCTCCTTTTATGGCTTTGAAACTATTGATTTTTTCCTGCTTGTCAAAGAAATGCACACTCATTTGCATTGTGTCTTTTTTAGACACAATACAAAAAGCTTAAAGATCTTAAAAGTCCTCCATGATTCCACCACCCAGAGATAATCTCTGTTGACATTTCCCTGCATTTTTTCTGTATTTCTATACATCTAAAGCCATACATATTTTATGTTGATATTCATATCTTCACAGATTAATGGGAAGATGAATATGAAGGTCCAGAGGTGTCCCAGAGTCTTTCTAAGACTACTGAAGATTCCAGGTTCGGAAGGAATATTCCAGATACTCCATTGGGGGAAAAGGTGGAAAGATAAAGAAAAGCTGGTGGATGACGTGAGGACAGAGGATGGGCAAATGCAGGAAAGGAAACGAATGCTGGCTGCGTGCGGACTTGGTGGTCAAGGCAGCACAGAGACTGACCACACACGCTGTGATTTCTGTGACCCCAGAGGGAGGCTTACACTACTCACACTCACAGTGCTCTGACACCACATGTTTCGGGGAGGGGGACTTCCTCAAAACAAGCAATTCTCAGACACTGGCTGGTTGTCCTCAATTTAACTCAATTCTGACACTGTTTACCTGGAGATAGTGTCATATCCCATGGGTTAGGGGCTCAGTCCCATGAAACTATACCCCCTTCATACACCAATCACAAATAGTATAGGTCCCCAGGTTGCCCACAACTTCTGTCCAACTTGACTACAAATTGGAGGTTCCAATGACTTTCTCCCCCTTGGATACAATTACTTGCTAGAACAACTCACAGAACTCAGGGGAACTCTTACTTAAGTTTACCAGTTTATTATATAATAAAGGGTATGATAAAGGATACAGGTGAACAGCCAGATGAAGAGATACATAGAGTGGAGTCTAGGAGTGTCCTAAGCACAGGAGTTTCTGTCCTTGTGGAGTTGGGGCCCGTCACCCTCTCAGTACATGGATGTGTTCACCAACCTGGAAACTCTCCAGATCCCATACTTTTGGGATTTCTATGGAGACTTCATCACGTAGGCCTGAATGATCATTAACTCTGATTCCAAACCTCTCCCTTCTTGAGAGAGTGGAGGCTGAAGCTTAAAATTCCAGGCTTCTAATCATTGGTTGGTCTTTCTGGTGATCAGCTCCCAATCAGGATCCATACAGGAGTCGCCTCATTAGAACAAAAGATACTGCTGTCACCCAGGAAGTTACAAGGGATTCAGGAACTCTGTGTCAGGAACCGTGGTCCAAGACCAAATATTAGAAGAAAAGATGCTCCTAGTATTTATATCACTTAGGAAGTTACAAGGGTTTTAGGAAATTTGTGCCAGGAACTAGGGGCAGAGATCAACATATATATTCCCTGTTGTCTCACAGAGGGGTTTCTTCTTCCCTCCCCACCCCACAACATGCTGATCCTGCAAAGAGAAGCTAACTTCAAGAAAGATGGCGGGCAAGGAGTGGTCACATTAGAGAGATAGATGTTTCAGGGCTTTGTAACCGTTCACTGCCTGCGTCCGATGAAGACTGAGGGCTCTCTCTGGTCCATACAAGCCAGAAGCAGGCTCCTCAGAGTATACCAGACCTGAGGAAGAAATGTTGCATGTGGTTACTGAGAGCAGAGGATCTAGACCCAGTCATTATAGGGACCTTCCCGTGGTCATTGGTTATGTTGTTACCGTGTCCATAAGGAAGAGGAATTGAGAACTAATATCCTAACCCACTCTGGAGCCTGTACGGACACTATCCATTTATGGACATTAAATGTTTTATGGCTTTCATGGCCTAAATCATATTTAACCACACTTGTCAAATATTGTCAGAAATAGATGATTATACACAGTTTTCCAGACTGTGTGTGGCCCCCAAGTAGTGATGATCAAGATTCTGGGGCTCAGAATGGGCATGTCTGGTGAGCAGTGCTCACTCACAGACGCCTTTTTAAAAGAAGCTCACGTGTGTGAAGGTGCAGGTCGCACAAAGGGGTCAGGGTTTGAGGACGTCTCCTCCCTTCTTCCAGAAGAGTCTTATTTCTCTGGACAGTGACCATTTGCCACTATTCCTTAAGTGGGAGGAAGGCTATGCTGAGGCACAGCCCAGAGGCAGGAACAGCTCCTCTGAATGGCCTACAAGCTGTGTGACACACAGAAGGCTCAGAACAAGGAAGGCTGTTTCTACGTCTTGCCCCCGATGAGGTCATTTGGCCTAATTCAGGCTGTGCCCACTGTTGGTCCTCATGGTACAAGTCCATATTTGTGTGGAGAAAGGACTCCCTCTCTTCTGAAGGACAGAGGGAAACCATCTGGGACTCCTCCTGAGTCCCCTTGTTTGAGACACATTTAAGACATCTTCTGTAAGTGACGGTCATGATTTTCCCCAAATAGCCAATCAGTGTTCATTTCAGCAATTTAAGAAATGGAATTCATAGATTTTGTCCCTTTGGGATAATGCTCTATGTGCTTAGCCACCCCACACTTTGTGGCTTGCTTTGTAAAATACATTTTCCTTTTTTAATCTAGTAAGGTGTTTCCCTGAGTCAGATCTTTTCTTGGTGTGTTTATAGTAAAGCAGAAGAAATTTTGAGCCTTGCACTGGCACTGGCAGCCTCACTGGGAGTCTACTTAGAGCACCAGAACAGCCAGTGTGTGGGAGGTGATGCTGAGAGTGGAGGCTGATTCTGCAAAACTAAGTGTGTTTCCCTCACGTGCCCTCACATGGCCTCATTCTTTCTCTTCCTTGGCTTCCTTTATCCCACACTCCCTTTTGTACTCTTGAGGATAAGTCCGGCTTCATTCATTTAGCCTTGCTCTGTCACTTCCAGTGACATACACATGCTTCTACAGTGATGAGTCTGATACAAACTCCATGCCCTGGAGCGAAATGAAATAGGACACCGGACTTAAGAGACGCAAGTGTGTCTTGTCTCTCTTTTCTTTGCATTTTGTTCTGCTTCCACGGAAGAAAGACCCAGATCTGTGTACCTTGGTGAAATGCTGAGTCTTAACCTGGTCAGAGGATGGTGGGGTCTGTGGAAAGAGCTGTTTGGTGTTGGCTGGAGGAGCCACTGTGACCTTGGTCAGTGATGATGGACGATTATTTGAGCCAAATGGAACCTTCCCAGGCTTTACGGTATTTTGGAAGTAATTTTCAAGCTCTGACTTCAGTGAGAAAGAACAGAGCAGACATTTGTTTCCAGGGCAGGGAGATGGGTGGACCGAATGGTAAGGAAAGTCTTACTGTATAATTTTCAGTAAGTGAAAATTATGACTCTACTTATACAAACATACAGTGAGCATGTGTCAAAGATTTATTTACCTCATTAATGAGGGAACTGGCAGAATGGCAAAGCTGATTCCAAGGAGAATATGGAGACTTTGGTATACACAGTCAATGAAACGAAACCATGCCCAAATAAGGTTTCCTGAGACAGGACTGAGATATACAATTTTATATAAGGTGATAAAACCATTGCCTTTGGCTTATGGGACAAAAAAAAGTGGAACGGAAACTATTTTCAGCTCATCATTCTTCTTCAAGTTAACATCTAACTTTACAGGCTGCACCCTAAAGGGTAGTAAATATTGTCAAGCTATTTTCCATAAAGCATCAGGTGCCCTATGTTGCTTTGTAAGACAATGCTCTATGTGACCTGAAGGAAACCTAGTCATATTTTTTACTTATTTCCAAATTTCAGACAATCTTTCTTAACAGTACATAGTGGAACCGTCGCAGAAGTGGTTCCACTCGTGAACATCTGGACAGCCTTCTGATTTCGTTTGCTGTTTATTCTAAATGGTTAGCTATTTCAGGGGTACCTAGGGCCTGAATGGTGTTTCAGTTTGCTTGATCCTTCTTTCTTCTCAGTGTGGTCTGATGGACTGTTTTCAGGGACGGCAGCTTCTAGGAAAACCGTCTGGATCGGTATTCTTTTCCTGTGCACTCCCTTGTGTTTTACTGTCCGTCCAGGTTGGGAAAGTTCAGTCATAGAGTGAAAATGTATATCCTTAAATGGCATGATTATTTTTGGAAGGGTATAACTTAAAAACAAAATTGTACTTTTGTCTAGTTCCAGAACACAGTTTTAAATGAATCTTTTGAAGTAATTGGTTTCAATACAGGAAATGACTATAGTGTCTTTAAGTTTATATGCAATAACATTTTATATTTTTGACTTGAAAACTTTCAAGTTACCCCTTTATTGCCCCCCGAAGCAACGTTTTCTTTGCTGATGTGTCAACCTTTTCTGCATGCACAGACATACAGTACATGGGCACACATATAATAAATCTGACTAACTTTGACCTCATGAAATAAAAGTCTGTGATTAATTCAGATGCACTAGATTCTTATTTAGAAAAAGTTAAATATCGTGAAGCCCTTCGAGTCCGTTGTGGTGTCAGCTGTGCAGACTGCTTTATGTGCCAATTACTTTACTTAATTATGTTTCAGGAGCTATGATTTGACCCACAGCGTGACAGAATAGCAAATAGTTTTAATGGATTTCCACGGTCATTTCTTTCTTTGGGGAGCTGCTTAATCTCAAGGAGGATGCTGCAAAGTCAGAGTCCAGGATCAGAAGGCTAGGAGAGGGATTTCTGGGAATAGGGGCAGGGTGAGCTACAGTCAGACTGAACCTGGGACCCATGAGTCACAGGATAAGACCCAACTATATGTCATCTGCAAGATACCCACTTTAAATATAAAGGCGCGTATAGGTTAAAAGTCAATGGATGAAGAAAGATATGCCCTGCTAACACTAATCAAAAGAAAATGGGAATAGCTATATTAACTTCAGACAGCAAGGAAAGTTATCAGCGATAAAGAGGGGCATTACATAATGATAAAGGGGCCATTTCTCCAAGAAGATATAACAATCCTTAGCATGTGTGCCTGACAACAGAGCGTCCAACTACGTGAGGTGAAAACTGGTAGAACCGCGAGGCGAAGTAGATGAATCCGCTGTTGTCGTTGGAGACTTGACCACCCCTCTCTCTGCAAAGGAGCCATGAGTGAAAGGAGTGGGTGCATGGCGGGGGCTGCCAGGGAGACCTCGGTGCTCCAGGAACTCCCGGGCATGTGCAGATTCAGGGCACTCTTCCTAATAATTAGTTTGTGGGGATTAATTTTTGTTTCAAGCCAGGTTCTAAGGTTCTAGGGATTTTTGGGTGGTCCAGCCAGTTTCTCCATATTGTGGTCTGAGGACCCCATTAGAGTCACTGGGGCAGGGGATCGTTAAAAATATGTAGATTCCTGGTTTCCACCTCGGATTTGCTAAATTGGGATCTGGGGGTGGGCCGGGAAGTCTCCATTTTAAATAAGCCTCTCAGGTAATTCTCAAAAATTTGAGAATCACTGAAATGAGTGTTGTGTTGCTTGTGCCTCCCCCTTCACCCCTCAACCCTCGTCCCAAATAAAAACCAAACGAACGAAACATTCTTCATTGCAATCATGTTGGCTTCCTGTTAAGATGAAAGCTACCAGACTAAGATAATTCCTACCAAGGAAAAGTGGCTAAAAGGCAGCCTTGTGGAGGGTGTTTGTGGTTTAGAGAAGG